TATTAATTATTATATAATTATGTTTTATGAAAATAATCAAACTCTAGTAAAATTATGACAAAATAATAATGATATTAAAAAAATAGAAAAATAATTCAGCACCTCAACTTCGGGTATAATGGTATATTAACATATAGATAGTTATTGTAAAAAAAAAATGTMTTTTATCAGTGTCTAAAACTGTAGATATTATTCAATTATACAACGTAGGTACATATTATTATTATTATTATTATGCAATACTAGTTATTTTTATGTAATAATAATTTTAAGTGTCATCATTGATTATAAATTAACGGCGTAGGTAGTATTAATTGGTTAGGTGCAGATGATATGCAAATGATGGCTGATATCGGGTAGCTCGATGGAAATTTAAAAAAAAAAACATCTAGAAACGCTTTTAGCAGAATAAAATCGTTGTCATCCCATATTTTATATTCAAAATAATAATTTTAAATCAACTTAATAAGCCTCAGGTGTGGTCAACTGATTAATATATTGTCGTCATAGTATATAACGAAAATAAATAGGTAGATTCCCTACATAAATACAATATTCTTTTTTTAATTAATCCTGTGTGATGATTTTAAGTAGTTTTCTATAAATGAGTTTAAAATTTAAATAAAATTAGCACCCTTTACCAGATATATGCAAAATTCATCGCACGAAGTATAGAATGCATTACCTATGTAAAAAAATAAACCTTACAATTTTAAGCACCTACGTCGGGAGTATTTTTATATTTAGTGACCATATTTTGTTTAACAACAAATAAATATTTAGAAGAAAATATTAAAATACCAACAAAAAAACATTAATAAAGTAAAAAGTAGCTATGCAGTCGATGGTCATCATATTATTTATTTCTATCTTATCTAAAACCCCGTTTTATATTCCTAATTAATCACATAATTATGTTGTATGATATTTAAGAAAATAACAGGTACTTATCATATTGTTAATATGCCTAGGCCAGATATTGGAACTTAGACTTTTGTGAAAATGTGAAATCAACCGAACCACATTTCGTATCCTAGCCTATTCAAACATTCATCAAAAGTATTTAATCCACAGACATCTGACCTTTTCGTCAAATAAACAAATGAATGAAAGAAATTCAAATATAAACATATTATATAGCTAAAATAATGATTGATGTGATGATCATCTATCTACATTGGATTCTTTGAACTGTGTATTAATATTAAAATATTTTTCTGTTCAAATAACCATTTTCAAATTTAACGTAGTTTAAGTGAACGTACAAAGAACTAGATTGTATTAGATAGGTATCTTAACGAATCATATTTTTTCATAATAAATAAATATTTTATGATTTACAATTATAAGATTATTACAATAATATTTCATTATACTTGCATTTTTGGAATTTTTAGATTGGCATAGTGTGCATAATATTATATAGCAATGAGGATGAATGTAGATTTCAATTTTAATCATACCAGATTAAAAAAAATAAGTATTTTTTATTAAATAACTTCCCGGATCAATTAATTATTTACATACAATCATAAACTTATATTTTATAATATTATAATTTAATCAACTATTGAAGGATGAGAATCACCAATAAAAAAGTTAAACGATTGCCAATAAGGTTAGATGTCATTTKTAAAATGTATTAAAGCAAATAAAAAATCAATGATAATTTATAAAAATTAAAAATGTCTGTAACTAGTGATTTACTGTTGATGTACTGCTCAGATCTAATCGAATCAACTACGTGAAAACTAAAGATTTATAATTAACTGTTTAATTGTTTTGTAAAATATATAAGCCAATAAGCCAATTAAAATGCGAATTTAATTAATCTAGAATAACCGTTATATTATAAAATATTTTTTTAATGTTTTATATATTTTACACTATAATATCCGTATGAATAGGTGCTATCAATTATTAAATTCACCTACAAAATAATTAATATTTTAATATTATTGACATATAAATATTTTTTAACGCATTACATATTATGTTGATTAACCAAGCATTCCATGGCCATTTTTTATTCAATAATAAATACTTTATTAAAATTCCAATTTTCCGAATTTCTAAGCATATCCCTAAATGTACTTATAAAAATTAACATATTTACAAATATTTAGATTTGTAAACAAAAATAATTAACTGTAAATTCTGAGCAGAGCAATGAATGTTTTGTTTTATAATGATGAGTGTGTTTAGTTATTTATATGAAGACAAATAATACAAAAAAATATCCTTGTAGYAGAAAAAAATTACAAATCTTCAACTTTGAGGTAACAACTTCTGATATCAAATGCATTTAAATTAATAAGATAAAAACAAAGTATACAAATATTTACTCAGAACGTAGAAGTTTTCAAAAAATATTGATAACTATTAATTTGATCAAATTGAATCAAGCTCTTGGGATACTCTTGGGTAAATATAAAATCCCCATACTTTCTTMGTAAAAATTTGGAATAAAAATAAAAATAAAAAATACGGAAATAGAAGAATATTTACACAACATTTTACAAAAACGATTTTGTTAGTTTGTTGTATTCAAATTCAAAAACTATAAATCAAAATGGAATTTAGTTGGAATTTTTATCCATTGCGTATTTTATAATTTAATATACTTAATTTAATTTTCAAAAAATCTATATTAATGTTTAGCTATTTATACTAATAACCTAATCACACCATTATATATTACGTTATAAGTTATCGAGTTATTTAGGAGATAATATTTATATAAACGAATAGTTTCTGAATTATTTCTAATTAAAATGTAGCTATGCTAAAAGGATTAAATTCTTGAATAATGAAATCACATAATAATGTAATAATGTAATAGATGTAGTACTTGTCCATTTAACATAAGACAACTTAGTTTGAAATTAAATAAAAATCTAATTATTTAGTCTAAGATATTTAAACAATKATAATMATTTTTTTTTCATTTTTTAAATTGCATTCTGCATAGTGTATATTCTTAACTTATTATAAATCATAAACTATAGTTTATTTTATATAACTATTTAATATGAAACTGTTATCCGTGATTTATGAGTTTATGACCCTATAATAATAATAGCAGTGTATAATAATATGTTTTACAAKAAAATTAAATAAACATAATTCATGTTTTTTTTATAAAAAATATTTTACGTGTAAATAGTATAAACAAAAAAAAACGGGTAAGTCGTAGATGTCGCTCTGACACACAGTAGGTTTCAAGTGGGTAACTGTAATAGATGGAATTAAATTTGAACACAATGATATAATATCATTGTATACGAAAAATGATTCTGAGCGGAGACGGTTTATCTGTCTAGGTGTCTAGGATATATTATAGATTATTCAAAAATTTTAAATCCTAGATTTAAAAAAAAA